TATTACATTACTCAAAATTGATAAGGGAATACGAGTACCCGAGAAAGGGGAAATACAGGCGCTGAGTTCAAAGGGCAAAAATGTCATAGCAAGCGAGAGCACAGGGATCGACCGTCGACACCAATTATCTCGTTCAATTTACAGAAACCCTAGAGATCTCCACAAAAGCCCTCAATTGAGCTCCGGAGACCAAACAACGGCAATCTAACTCGGAAATCAAACAAACCGATCGAACAAGATGAGCGCGTACATGAGCCGACTGTTCCCCAAATCCAACTCGAGCTTCTTCCTGCGCAGCGGGAGCGCATTGGAGGCTAAAGTCGTGCGCCTCAGGGAGGAAATGTACCTCCTGGACGCCGGCATCGGCCGGCCGAGGATCGCCACGCAAAACGAGCTCATCCGCCCGCCCAAATCCCACGGCCCGGCCACCTTCTCGAGCATGGTCGGATATCTCAACCCGTCCAACGCGGAAATGCCGGTGAAGAACGTCATCCTGCAGCGCTGCTTCGTCGACCTGGTTACCGGCGACCCGCGAACCAAGCAGCTGGCAGCTGCCCGGTTCGACGACATCGTGGGTCAGAACGACGCCGTGGGAGGAGGCGACGAGCAGCCGCTCCTCCTTCCGCGGAGGTTCAGGAAGCACCGGGCGTGGATGGAGCTGAAGCGGCTGTGGAAGGCCAACGCGAAGGTCAAGGGTTTCGTGGCGGAGAAAGTGAGGGGAGGGTACACGGTGGGGATCGCGGGCTACCTTGCTTTTCTCCCCGGTTGGCAAGTTCAGCACAGGAAGTTGCTAAAAGATAGGTTCATCGTCGAGAGCATTACTCCCAAGAGTATTGTGGTTGCAAAAGGCGGATGATTGGTCTATTTGCTCTTTCACCTTGGCTGATCCCTCTGGTATTTGAATTTTCCCCCTTCAACTTTGTTATTTGTTTGTACTCAAAATGAAAGGACCTTAACTGATCTTTCTTTGTTGGAGCTTGATTTTTGCTCTGTAGGATACAGTTTCCATTGCTACCTCTTGTCAGTTGGGGATGATTCATGAACATTATTCGTGTATTTCGGATAAAAAAAAAAAAAACGTGTTTGTTCCACAACAAATAAAATCAATCTGTTCCGGTGGCTTTAAATTACATATGGGTTAACTATACATCATGAGCAAAAAATGGTTTGTACTGTCACCCTTGTTAAATGTATCTTGATGGATTTTGTCTCCCATTCGAAACACACTGCTATGGACTTGCCTATAGTTTTATGTGCTTCTTCTCATTTTTATGCTTGATGATACCAAAATTTCTTGATGGCTTGTATATGTGAGGTGCCCTTAAGCTCTTTTAGGTATGCGTAGATCCTGACATTCTCGAATATCTTGGCTGGTTTATCAGGATGCCATGAGCTCATTAGCCAAAAGGATTCTTTCTGTTCTTTTTCCCTTATGTATGTATTATCTTGGCTGGAGTATTGTGGAATCTATTTCATTTGTCTCAGAACCATGTTTGATCATGTTTTAGTGTATCTGTCAACCTGGGCTCACATTTTTTCGATGTGGGTGTAATTTTGCGGCAAAATTTTGTAAGCGTGTAGGTTTTTAAATTATTGTCAAAAGAATATGAATATTGTTTCGAGATGAGTTATCCGACTCCATGTATTCCAATAATGCTGCCCCTACAGGCACTGCAGTCAGCCCCTGGGGCCCTTGATTTACACACACCCACATGGGTGTGTGTGAAATCAATCTGACCCCATGTATTCCAATAATGTTGCTCCAACTGGCACTGCAGTTAGCCCCTAGAGGCCCTTGCGTTACACACTAACACACACTAGGGGCCAGCTTTGAATTTTCCCCAATGAGCATAGAGCAGGCCAACAAGGCAAAGCTCTCACATCAGTCACACATTCACACACTGCTTCTAGATTGTCTAGGTTCACCACTCAACCGTTCCTGATTTTGATAATAATATAAGATTACTAAATCCCTCTCTATATATTAATTCAAAACGTGTTGAGCCTAGGTGGTAGATTCTCACGCTTCGGATGCTGACATGGTGAAAATCTATGCTTCGTGATGTTGTTTTTATATTATTTTTGCTCTGGAGTTAGATTTGGTATTAGACATAAATAACTTTACACATATATTCATTAACTCAACACTCATGTTGTACATGTGTATTAATACTAGTTTGTTATTAAATTTAAGTAGGAGTGTAGAATTCTTACTACTACCACCCTACCCTAAGCAAATTATAAAGTGATGAATCACTTTTTTAAAGTATCTTAAAACAAAACAAATCAATATATTCAAGCTGATCTGTTGGACAATAATTGTTCATATTTATTAAGCTTATTTGTTTGACACACATCAATGAATACCTCAATTATGTCAACTATGTTCGTCTTGTTTGCAATGCAATATTTTTTCTGAAAACATGTAGAAATGGATCTGATTTAATCAATTTCTTTTGAAAGCAATTAATTTTCATCATCACCTTGCACATATAGGCAATACTTTGGTCTTGTTTCGGCCTAGTCTGTGTCATTAATTTTTTTTTTTTTTTTTTTTT